ACATTTCCTCTCTTTTGGATCACTTGGGGCATCTACAATTAACACTGGATTGTTTAAAACAGAATCAATTTATGGTTAAGTTGAGCAAGTGTGGATTTGCCTTATCTGAGATTGATTATTTGGGCCACATAGTGTCAAAAGGGGGAGTGAAGGCAGATCCTAAGAAGATATCAGCCATGCTACTTTGGCCTCAACCAAAGAATGTTAAACAACTAAGAGGATTCATTGGTCTTACTGGATATTATAGGAGATTTATAAAGCACTATGCAGCTTTGGCAGCTCCTCTAACTGACCTTTTAAAGGCTGATTCATTTGTTTGGAATGAGAGTGCTCATGAAGTTTTCAGTATTTTAAAGGAAGTTATGTCCTCCACTCCAATTTTGGCACTGCCTGATTTCTCCTTGTCATTCATCATCGAAACAAATGCTTCTTCAACTGGAATTGGAGCAGTGTTGATCCAACAGAACAAGCCAATTGCTTACTTTAACAAGAAGCTTGGAGTAAGGATGAGACTAGATTCAACCTATGTAAGGGAGTTATATGCAGTGACCGAAGCTGTGAAAAAGTGGAGACACTATTTGTTGGGATCTAAGTTTGTAATCAAAACTGATCATAGAAGCTTGAAGGAACTGTTATCTCAGACTATCCAAACACTAGAACAGCAGAAGTATATGTGTAAATTGATGGGATATGATTTTACAATAGAATACAGATCGGGAGTTTCTAATATTGTAGCAGACTCATTATCCAGAAGGGATGAGGAAGAGGAGAGTACAGGTAACACCTTATCTTTAATCACTCAGGTTACCTTTGATGTTGTCAATCAAATTAAGGATGAGAATAGTTCAGATTCTAAACTGTTAGCAATGCATTTGAAAATTAAGAATGGGGATCACACTGATCCTAATATTACAGTAAGGGAAGGAATTTTGTATCATAAGCATCGATTTTTGTTGGGATCCAAATCACAACTCTGTCAGCTGTTGATTAATGAGGCTCATGCTACACCTCTTGGGGGACATGCTGGCATCACTAGGACTCTATTGCGTTTATCTGCATCTTTTTATTGGGTCAACATGAGGAAGGATGTCACTAATTTTGTGAAGCAACGCTCAGTATGTCAATTAATCAAAATAGCTACCACACCTCCCTTGGGTTTGTTACAACCTCTGCCCATACCTGAAGGAGCATTTGAGGACTTGAGCATGGACTTTATTACAGGTTTGCCACTTTTCAGGGGATTTTCAGTGATTCTAGTGGTTGTGGATCGATTAACCAAGTTTGCACACTTTGGAGCTTTAGCTAATCCATATACAGCAGCCAAGGTAGCTTCATTATTTTGTGATACAGTTGTGAAGCTACATGGTTTTCCAAAAACCATAGCTTCTGACAGAGACAACATTTTTATCAGTCAATTTTGGTCATTACTATTCAAACATAGTGGAACTACTCTTAGAACAAGCACCTCATACCATCCCCAATCTGATGGCCAAACAGAGGTCACAAACAGATACTTGGAGCAGTATATAAGAGCTTTCTGCCATGATGAGAATAATAGATGGTCCTTTTATCTAAGTTGGGCAGAATTGCACTATAACACTGTTGTGCACTCTTCGATTGGAATGACTCCATTCCAAGCCTTATATGGGAAGCTACCAACCATGATTCCTCACTACCCTCAAGGATCAGTTAGGTTGGAAGCTGTAGATGTCACACTATCCCATAGGAATGAGTTGCTAACTAGTTTGAAGAAGCATTTGCAAGAAGCTCAAAACAGGATGAAGATCCAGGCTGATAGACATCGTACGGATATTATCTTGAAGGTGGGAGATTTAGTTTTGGTGAAACTTCATCCATATAGACAGATTTCATTGGCTAAAAGATCTAACCAGAAATTGGCCAAAAGATATTTTGGCCCTTTTCCTATCACTAGAGTATTGAGTTCAGTTTCCTATCAACTACAGCTACCGGATGGTTGTAAGATCCATCCTTCTTTTCATGTTTCTGTTTTGAAGCCATTTCGTGGAGATCACAAGGACCTGGTCCCTACATTTCCAGAATTCACTCATGGCAACCTTCCTGCTCAGCAACCATTAGCTGTGTTGATGTCTAGAATTGTCAGCAACAAGACAGGTCACCAAAGGCAATGGTTAGTTCAGTGGTCTGATGCCTTGCTTGAAGATGCTACGTGGGAAGATGAATCAGAATTGAAGTTGCAATATCCGGGTTTGAACCTTGAGGACAAGGTTCCTTTACAAGCAGGGGCGAATGATATGAAGATGGGAAGAAGAATAAGAAGTGCTCCCTCATGGAGCAAGGATTTTATTACCATGTAATAAAATTACCTTAGATCACTTTACTTGTATTGAGTTATTGATATTGTATTGTAAGATGGGTAGTTAGTCATGCATAGGGTGAGGTGGCAAGTTAGTTAGTATTAGGTGGCAAACAGTGTTGTTAGCAAGTGGTTGTATATAAGGAAGACACATGGCATATGTGGCATCATCTTGAATAATAAACCGAATTCTCTTTTCTGTTCTTCGTGTTTCTTTCTTCAGAGTGATGCACTCTTAACAGAGTACCAAGGCTATATTATTTTTGAAAACTCAATTAGTGCCAAGGATGTACCATAATATTTAAAGAAAACCTGTACCATTTTTGAAAATTGCCAGTGCCAAGGCCCCAGCTGATCTCAACGCGATGCTAAGCTACTTGGGTTTCTAGAGTCACTCATTCATGTGAACTCATAGATTTAGCCACCGAAACAGAAAAGTATATTTCAAAAGAAAACAAACCATTTTTGTTTTCATTTTTCATTCTGCATGCACACATCTCAATTGGAAAAAAATATCAAATGGAGCACAAGTAGCAACCAATAATTACTCAAATATTTTTATTATGACATGTCTTTTATTGGGACTAACCAGCTAACTGCAGACTGTCTTTTATTTTCTATTTTAGATTCCGAAAAGATAAAGGTACTACTCCTACTGATTGCATTTACAGAATATATGACGCTTCAGAAAATCATGCATTTGCATGATAAAGACAAAAAAAAAAAAAATGTTCATTAGTAGTGACTTGTTGACTTGTAGCATAAGCATTAAGCAGAAACTAGATATAATTCCTAATAACATAATAGCTTCAATAAAAATATCTAGGTAGGAAGAAATCATTAACCATTGTACTCACTCGCGTATTGAGAAATTGAGAATGACAGACAATGAATTCCATCCAAGAGATTACTAGAGCTCCACGTATCTGTTCACCTATTTCCCCTCACTGGACATCCATGAGAACACCACAGCTATCCCTACCACTTTCTCAGAAGACACCTTTCTTCCCTAATAAAATAAATTTGGATCCTCTAGTGTTACTTTACTTAATGACATATCATAAGAGAGAAAATACAAAAGCAAAATTAATAGATCTTACACAAATAATGATGGATCCTACTATAATTGCTTGTGTTCTTATCTTTAGTTACATTATCAAGCTAGTTACATTATCTTTAGTTACATTATATGAGAAAATCCAAATCTCAGTAAAATATACCACCAACTCCCCACATTTTCCCACCTGCAAACAAACCGCATAACTTTAGCATTTAACTTTCACAGAATCAACAAGATAAAGCTCGAAACTCTACATCAGAGGAGAAGGGTAAGAGGCAAAATAAATGGGGCAGACAGAGATTTTCAGTTTCTTTTTCATTGCCGCTTTATATTTGTATATATGTGGAGCGAGCTGGTTTATGATTTTGCTAGTGCCACAATATCATTTTAGAGTAACATTTTTCTCAAGTTGCATAAGAGAGAAATATTTTTCTACACTCACATACAATTGAAGAGCCCACCAAGAGAGAGAGAAAAATAAAATAGTAGTTTAATTATCAATGTGATTATGTGAGTGTAAGAAAATATTTCTCTCTTATGGAACTGAGAGAAATATTACCCTTCATTTTATATGAGTGGCGGCATCCAAAGCTCTTGAAATGGGAATTGGGATGCACAGAGTCAAAAAAACAAAACCTTGATAGGATAGCAGATGATTAATTGGAAACGATGATGCTGCATCTTGTCCTTATCTTGTTTTCTATTTTTGGTAAGCGCATGCTTATCCTTATCTTGCAGAATAACTTGGTAACAGACCATACTAGGTCCATTCGATTGGTGGCTGTTCCACGGAAGGTTTAGCCTTAAATCTTAATCATTTGACAGAAAGGGACAAATAGGATTGAATCATGTTATACATGTAATGAATTTAACTTCAAATTTTATTTAAAGTAACATCACTTTTCTATATAGTGTGGGTCCTTTTAAAGGACACAAGGTTGTATCCTTCTTACAGTTATAACTATGTATCACGGATAGTACACAGTTATAATATGAAAATTGTATTTTTTTCACTTTCCACGTCAGCAGGCGGCTTCTGAAGAGAGAAAAAAAAAATACAACTTTAATATTATAACTATGTACTACCTGTAGTATATAATTATAATTTTCAAAAGGACATAACCTTGTATCCTTTAAAAGGACAAAACTTTTTCCTTTTCTATATTATTTACATAATTATAACTATCAAAAGGACATAACCTTGTATCCTTTAAAACGAAAAACTTTTCCCTTTCTATATTATTTACTAGCATTTCAACCATAGTCGCTGGTTCATTCATATCTCTAACAGGGAAATTATTTCCCTGGTCCCTCTCTCTCTCCCCCTTCTTCCTCTCTCTCTCCTCTCTCCTCTCTCCTCCCCTCTCTCTCACAAAGGGTGCATTGGGCCGGGACCTCTACATGTTTGCTCCTCTAACAGATCAGAACTGATCTGCAGATCAAGAAAAAAACTGACATGAATTATTATAATTTTCTTACTCAAACATTAGGCTTCCATCAGGAATGAGCTTCAGACAATTCGATTTCCATTAAATAAACAATGCCTGTCTATCATACACTTTTGGAAAATTCACTAGATTAACTAATTCGTTTTCCCATTCAATTTCATTTGAATCATAATCCCCCTTACTAACTGATCTCGAGCAGAACTTTCTGAAGCGCTTCTGCTGCCAGAGGGATGTGTAAGCAATCTTGACCATCAGAATGCCTCTTGATCTTGACCAGCTCATGGTCTTTAAATTCGGTCAAATGAGAATTCAGTGTAACCTGACTGCTAACAAGGAAACGTTCTCGACAGGCTGAGTAGAGATCACTGATTGGCATTCCTGAAAATTAAAGGAAAACGTTTAACAAACCATACATATGAAAAAGACAACTTATCCAAGTAAAATGATAGAAACTTGCCTTCTTCAGGATGAGAGAGTTGATGTTCAGCAAGAACTTTGAATACGCTCTGGGCATTGGGTGTCAAACTTTGCAAAACTATCGCAGCTGTTTTGACACTTTGGCTGGCGCCTCCATGTGCTAGAATCAGAGGATAAAACATGCCTTCCATCTTATAAGGAGAAAACGTAGGAACATGATGCCAGCACCAATTGAACTGTGTCTGAGCCATCTTCTTGTCCCAAACTGCCAACAAAAGACGAAATTGTTAAGCAATAGTCAGAAGCTACAAAAAAAACCTTTCCCACAGTCAAGCATCATTCATTTTTTTCCCTACAGCAACAATAGCCATTTCCCACTAGGTGGGGTCAGCTACATGAATTGTACAACACCATAGGTCCTACTCCAAATAATGGATATATTAGCAATTTAACTCTCAAGACCAAGAAAAGTTTTGGTTCTTCAATTTTCTGAAAGGGTCTCCAGTTTAACAGAGATAAGAACATAAGACTAGAGCCGCAGAGGAACTCTAATAATGTGCAGCACAAATCAAACAAAGATTTAAATAAAATTTCGTTTTACAAAGGCATTTATATTTTTTTATTGTAAATAAAAGTAATTGATTTCATATAAATTAATTATACATTGCACCATTCAAGCTTCTATTCAGTCACTCAAAATGAATATAAGTAGACATAAGTTCAAGGCAGATCCAAAGTTGATATATGAAAATCTTAACTCTACTTACAACTTTCAAGTAATGATATATTCTGCACAAGATAATGTAACAGTATAATCTAAACCTACACAGAGGAGCATTAACATGGTCAATAGAGGCAACAATACGAATGTGGGAACAAGCAGCTAGTCGAGCAAGATATTGTTGGGTTTCAGAGTCCCTTAATCCCGGTCCATCAATATTGTGAATGACAACACAAACAAAGCAATCTCTGTCCTCTACTTCCGCTTCATCCAAAAATGTAAGAAGATCCTCCATGGACTGAGAATTGAATGGCTGCTGCGGATTCGCCCTTCGTTTAGTTTTCACTTGATCACACAGCACTTCAGCTAAAGCTATCACAACCTATATTAAAATAAAACATTGCATTAGTGATTTATCAAAAGGAGGACAAGCTTAGAGCACAGCACACTCACTTGTCTCCTTTCTCGCCTTTCCTTTCTACTACGAAAGAGCTATAATTACATGCATCTTTGAAATGCAAGATGTGAAGGGGAAAACAAAAACTAACCTGTTTTAAGTTAATGGCCTGAAGATATCCATTAATGACAACTACAGAATATTCAGCCAATGCCGTTGAAGCAAAATCTTCAAGCACAACCTTCTTAGACCCAAATCCATACATTAGAAGAGCGAAACCACATCTGTTTCATTGATGTAACCCAAAAAAAATTAAAATTAAAATTAAAATATATATCTTAAAAAAAAAATACTTTTTTTTAAATAAAAAAAAAAAATCTTATCCAAAGGAACCTTAGCGAGAGAAGCCATTCAGGATATCTAGTTTTGTAGGAATTGATTAAGTTGGTGATCTCGTTCTCATGCTTGGGTTGAATGTGCAATGTGGCTTCCCTCAGTTCCTAGTCATATAGGAAATGAATCAGGTTAAAGTAGAATCAACAATCGAGGGAAAAACTAGGAAATTACATTTACAAATTGATACCTGTTCATCAACAACGTTGATGTCTGTAAGCTTGTGTGTTGATTTCTTCGCCGAGGAGGGAAGTTCCTTCGCCAGAAAATAATTTCTTGAGAATTCGAATTCCTCGTCTTCCTCCTCCTCATCCTCCTCCCGATTGCCATTGATGTTCATCGTTCAATTAACGAGGACAAGTAAACACCATGGAAACGAAAATTTTATTATGCACTCTTCTCTCTGCGGTTGTGTGCCCTATACCATTTTCCCGCCATTTCTCATCTGATTTAGGATATCCGACCACAGTGGCCGGGTCGGGTTTTTCAGAATGAATAAGGGTTTCACAATAGGGTTTTTTTTTTCCACCAAAATTATTATGCCTTGGGTTGGGAGATTGCTGAATTTCAAAGTTTATATAACATATCATAGGCTTTTTGACCACTGTAGTCCTAAATTAATAATTAATTACTAATTCAGCTTTCAACCAAAACATATCATCCATCTGCTCCTGTTTTATTGTGCAAGACGTAAAATATCTGGGTAGGCAGGGGATACCCGGGTATAATTTGAAAAATTTATCTTACCCTGATAATCAATGGGATACCTGGATATTGTTCTAAATCTGAAAAAATGTTTGAATTATTTACCCGGGTAGGGATGGGGCTACCCGGGTAAATGTCGCGAATTGGGTTTTTTAAAAACCCAGTAGCCCCCATTTAGAAAATTCACAAAGGGGTACACACGTAGAGAGCTGTTGGAGTGCGAATTCAACCTTTCTCTGAGCATATTGGTTGGCTCATCTTGCTCTTTTAGGATCATCCTTCGCGCACATTGTTGGTTACTTATACCTATTGAATTCCAAGATAGGTAAAAAAAAATTCTATTGATTTGTTTCTGATTCAAAACATATCAGATTTGTTGTGCTTTCTGTAACACGAATTTTTGTCCTTGCTCTTTCTGTATCACAAATTTTTGTCTGATTTAAAAACCCTAACCCTAACAATGCATTTTAAATCTGATTTTGGATTTACTTCTTTTATTTTGTGTCACAGTGTGACTGCATGGCTGACAGACGAGTTTTGAAGAAGAGAGCAGTGGATACCGAGAGGAGGACAAAGCGCCGACATGATGGGTCGTCATCCTCTCAGCCGCAGCATGTTGTGCATCAGGCTCCGAACCTGCCGTTCGGATATTTATTTGAGGATGACGCTGATGCTCACGAGAGGTTCGTGAAGTTATTCATGAGCCGCAAGATTTGTGAGCCGAAATCACTGGATTCAGCCTTCTTCAACATGGAGCAGTTCGACATTGTGTCACTTCTTCAGCAAACACATTTGCTAGTGCTTGCGGAGATGAGGTGCCCGTACTCGGAGGTCATGGTGAGAGCATTCTACCAGAACCTCAACTATGTGCATGGAGAGCTGACTTCCCGTGTCTGCGAGATTGATATCATCCTTACTGCTCCTATCTGGACAGAGCTACTGGGGTTCGACTTCGATGGTGTCACAGGTGCAGCACTATATGACGTAGACAGCCATCATATATTTGGTGGTTATGATCAGGAGGATGTTGTTGCTGAGACCAGGAGAACAGATGTAGAGGCTGGACAATTTGCTCATTATCCTGTGAGCAATTTGTTCGTGTCTGCTCGCATACTTCATTATGTGGTGACACACATTACTTTCCAGCGCCCTCATAATCACTCGAAGATGCTGGAAGGTGATTTTGTGATCTCCTGGGCCCTCCTTCACCATATTCCGGTGAACTGGAGGCACTACATATGCATCTTGATGTGGAAGGCAGCTAAGTCTAGGAAGGCTGAATTGCCTTTTGCATTCCTGGTGCAGAAGATTTTGCATAGATTTGGTGTGCCTATGGCAACCGAAACGATGAAGACAGCCACCGGATGGAATGCCATCTTTAATGAGCGTCTCTTGAAGTAGTGTGGGATTCTGCAGAGCTGAGCAGGTGTGTGGTACTGGAAGAGGGCACTTGAACCACCTAAGGTCCCCCTTCACCACGATGCTGAGATGGAGGATGCATCTGCAGGTCAGTGGTGCTGGCATGTATTTTGCTTTAAGTTGTACTTTTTACGTAATAAAATCTTAATATTTAAATGTTCATGATGTTGTTGTAGGTCTTGATGACAATGATGATGACACTGCTACTGATGAGGCACCTGCACGTCCCAACCGCATCCGACGAGCACCACCTCCTCCATCTCTTGAGGGAGGATGGACAGCTCCTGGGGGGGATGGACATTTGATCGTGTCATGGCATCCATGTATAGCCTGACATGTGGCCTTGACTCCTTGACCAGTGACTTCAGGGGCTTCAGACAGAGCACAAGCAAGTGGCGGACTCAGATTGGCAGCAGGGTGACACGCCTAGAGGCTAGCTACAGGGGTGGTGCCCGCACTGGTGAGCGCTCAGTTGTTGCTGCTGTTGAGCCTGACGATGATGAGGAGGAGGAGGATGCTGATGGGGAGGAGACGCAGTCGGATTCGACCCAGTAGGACTTTTTGTTGTAGGGTTTAGTTTTTTGGATGTGTTTTGGGTTGCTTAGGATGTTGGCAGCCCATTTTTGTATGTATCAAGCTGTTTCATTTTCTATAATTGTGACTTATTGTGTAATTCGATATCCAGTTTTTTAATGAAAGTAGTGTTTCATATTTACATGTTTGCACTATTACATGTCCTCTATACAAGAGTTATGGATGTTGCATGGCTTCAAGAATGACGAGTTATTGATCTCAGATAGCCACAACTTGCTTGCAATGTCCTTACGCGCATGCCATCGTACACTAAACTCGTATGTATCCAATTACCCCCTCCCCAAGTTATATTGTATGTTGACAACAGTATACAAGGTCCAATTTTGACTCAAAATGCGTGGAGGACCTGTTGAGGTTGCAATCCAAACTGGTCTACCCGGGTAACTTGATCTGGTTTACCCGGGTAGGTTGTACCCGAGTATATAATTTTGAGTTACCCGAGTAGACCAGTTTGGATTGCATCCTTAGCAGGTCCTCCATGCATTTTGAATCAAAATTGGACCTTGTATACTGTTGCCAACATACAATATGACTTGGGGAGGGGGTAATTGGATACATACGGGTTTAGTGTATGACGACGGCGTGCGTGTAAGGACATTGCAAGCAAGTTGTGGCTATCTGGGATCAATCTGTCGTCATTCTTGAAGCTATGTTGCATTGTATAAATTCGTGACATTAAGCTTGAAGTAGATGGATGAACACATTGAGGAATCACAAAAATACAGTACGATAGAACATAAACACATCATATAACACAATACGATACAATCCACGTTCAATACAAATCAAATTACATTACATAATACATAATACATGATCAAGCTTGTCTTAGCCTCAATGGACAGGTATGAATGTTATGTCCAACTTGCTTGCAATGCTTACACCTGCTTTGACTGCTCGAGGGTTGAGACTCAACCCAATCCATCTCATTCTGAATCCTTGAAGACTTTGGTCTTCCTTTTGCACGTACCAACCTTGCATCCGAAATTACAGTTGGCCCAACAACGAATTGAATCAACAGCTTATTGCCAATAGGAAACCAGTGTGCAGCATATACTTTAGCAATGATTGGGATTTTGAAAACAGAATCGACATAATCATAATGGTCCTACTTTGCTGCCTTGCAAACTGCTAATACATGGCTGCAGAGATACCTTCTTCCTGTGAACTTATCACACTGACATTTATGATTGATCAAGTCCACTCTCATGGTGTCACCAACCTTGTGTGTAGATTGATTATATGCATCCTCAACCTCAAACAATAACAGCTCACTATCATAAATCCTCACACGATAAGTGCCTGCCAATTCATCATTTTCTTGCAAAGCTGCCTCAACCTTCTTTGAAATTCTCCAACCTTGTGAGATATCTTTTTCAATCTCTTCACGTATCTTGACGAAATACTCAACAAGTCTACTGCATATCATCTTGACCAATGCAATTATCGGCAGATTACGTGCTCTCCGAAGCACCTTATTCACACACTCAGATAGGTTAGTTGTCATATGACCAAACCTACGTCCTGCCTCATCGTACAACCTGCACCATTGCTCTTTCAGAATCGCATCTAACCATGAAGCAACTTCTGGATTGTTGTCGATAAATTCCTTGTATCTCATGTCAAAATTTATCTTTGAACAAGTGTACCCTGCAAATCACAGATCACATATGCAATTGGTAAGTTACAATGAAAAAAATAAATGTGAATACAGTACAGCGTACAAATGGATAGCATACAGTACCTAATTTCATCAACGTTTTCTTCAATTCCACATTCCTAAACCTGGTATTAAAGTTGCTTCCGATATGACGTAGACAAAATACATGATAAGCATATGGAGGCTGCCAACCAGCGTGATCTTTGATCGCCTTTATAATGCTTCGAAGACGATCAGATATTAGACAAATACCTTGCCTATGTGTGACATGAAAACGTAAAAGGCTAAGAAACCAGGACCAATCTTCCAACTTCTCACTTAGAGGAACAACAGCAAAGGCAATAGGGAGTAGATATCCATCTTCATCCTGTGATGTTGCAATCAAGAGAGTTCCTCGGTACTTCCCATACAGATGAGTGCCATCAATTTGAATTATAGGCTTGCAGTATTTGAATGCTTTAATGCATTGGCGAAATATCCAAAAAAAACCCTATGAAATATGGCCATGTCCGTATAAACCTGACGTTCGTATCAAGCTTGAACACAGAACCCACATTCATCTGCGTCATATACGCCAACCAATTGGGCAAAAATCCATAAGATTTCTCCCAGTCACCATACAACTTAACAATGGCCTTCATTTTTGCCTTCCAAGCCTTCCTGTACGTTATGTTGTATCCATATATGTGTTGTATCGTCTCTTGTATCAGAACTGGTTTTAAAGTTGGATCTTCCTTTAACATATCTGTAAAATAATAAAATTACCATATTCTCAATAAGAAGCTTCATTAAGTACACGGTAGAATACGCACTCATGATAGCCACACAAATGACATCTGAATCCAATTGTCTAAGATCCTGTGATAGGCCCTGATTTAAGCATGTGTGTTGTTGGCCCCATTTACGGACCACCCAATTAGCTCCCTTCTTGGGATTGATTGCCCTCATATACCAGGGACAAC